ACCAATAGAAGGAGCGCCAGACCAAATGATGAGAGTTAAAATTAATTTAGTGGTTTGCACTAAAAAACAGCCAATGTGTTTCAGGGGCTTGAAAACATTCCCCCTTCATCAGGGCTACAACAAAACACAATATAATATAAATGTAGATGTGATTGGTATAATCATAAGCCTGACAACATAAAAGGTTATGAATAACATACATATGTAGGTATATGCACATGTAGGTATATGCATGCAGGGCTTTTTTTCAGTACTAACATGGCAGCCCTGGTGCTGTGCTTTCCGCTTCTTACTTTCCCTTGTAAACACATAAGCCTGGCTTCTATGTTTACACATGACAGCGCAGCTCTCCTGATGGCTCCCCTGAATCTCCCTATGACAGCAGAGGGAGAGTGCACTCCTGAAGTCTCTGCCTGCCCTGCAGCCTGCACTATCCTCTGTAGGTAAGTTGTAGCTGCAATTCTGTAGCAGCAGTTCTCTTTGGGGTGGGAGAAGAGCTCTGTACTAGGTTTGGAGGGGAGAGTTCTGTACTAGGTTTTGTACTAAGTTCATTTGACAATTTATTATAATCAAATGCTACATGGTCCATACATATTGTTGTACATTTAAAAAAGAACTCAAGGATAAGCAAAAAAAAAAATCTCCCATTAGTACACCACCCTACACAAAACACTAAACAGTTAATACATTTGTGAAATTCCTTACCATTGAAGAGAAAAGTCCAATTGAATTTTCATGAAATCATCTCTGTAATTAAAAAAATAACAGCATCTGCTCTGCCAAGAAGGAGGTATAACATCAGGGATTACATCATATCCTCTTCTCTCAGGAAACTACACTTCCCATCAACCTTTCGGAATTGCAGTGAATGTGGGCGGGTACACTAAGTCTGTATATGTTGAATGTGTGCTTGCCCACTTCAACAGAAAACATGTCCACACATTCCCCATCTGCCACTGCTATCCTCACATGTGATTACAACAACCAGGGGCAGACTGACCATTTGGAAACTCGGGCACTGCCTGAGGGCCCGGGGTCAGTAGGGGGCCCCATCAGATGCCCCTGGTACCTTTTTCATAGGCTTTTTTGAGTTTGGGCAAGGACACAGGGGCCTCATGATCCCCTATTGCCCGGGGGCCCCATGAGTTGTCAGTCCGCCCCTGATCACAACAGAATAGGAAATAATTGCCCTGACATTCTGTTTTTAATCCCAGAATAAATATGGCCACATGCCCAGAATTAGATTGTTTATCCACTGTTGTCTGCTGGAATTAAATATTAGAATTCTTCCTCCTATTTTTCTAACATCCACCGCTGCTTGTATGCTTCCATGTGATCACATCCCCGGCCACAACAGAAGAGAAACAAAGCACCGGAACATAAGGCTCCATTCACACTAGGGCGTTTCAAATGGTGGGCGGAATCAGCACGATTCTGACTGCGATGTGAAAATGTGCAATCGCATGTTCAGGTGCCATTCATTTGAATGGCACCGGAAAATGCGGGGCATTTTTTCCGTGACTGGGGCATGTTTCTCCGTGTGACAAATGCATTTTGCCCCGATTTTAGCCATGATTTTGCCCCGATTTTGTCCAAAATTTTGCATGACTTTACATGCAAATTTGTTGCGATTTAACCTGGAATTTTGCCACAATTATGCCGTGAGTTTGCCACGATTTTACCCACGATTTTTTTGCTGTGTTTTCAATGCATTTCAGGCCTGTTTCATACCAATGCAGTTTGCATTTTGTTTTGCAGTGCTTTTTTAGTGTGTTTTGCATTTTAGCACACATATTTTTGACATGTTTTTTGATACGTTTTATGTTTTTTTAATGTATTTTTTTTTTTGGCCAGCTTGTTGTTAGGCAGAATAAATACGTAACATGTATGTGTTTTTGAAGCAGTTTTTGTTGCGTTTTTAATGCATTTCAGGCCTGGTTTACACCAATGCAGTTTGTTTTTTGTCTGTTTTGCTGTGCTTTTTACAGTGCAATGCGTTTTTGCTGGCATGTTTTTGATGTGTTTTGTTTTTTTTTTTTTTTGCCCGGCTTGTTGCTGGGCAGAATAAAAATGTAACACATGTGCGTTTTGCTGCGTTTTCAATGCATTTTTAGTCCTGGTTCAGAAAAACCCAAAAACCAATGCGTTTTGTCTGTTTTGCAGTGCATTTTGCATTTTTTGTTTGTGTGATCGCAATGCATTTATCGCACGGAAAAAACATACTGCGTTGTGGCAAAAATGCCCTGCGTTTTCAGGTGCCATGGAAATGAATGGCACTTGAACACGCAATCATGCGTTTTTTACATTTTCACTGCACGTTTTCAAATCGCGGACAGTATCATGGCGATTCTGCCCATGATTTGAAACACCCTAGTGTAAATGGAACCTTAATCTGCATTTTTTAATCTGCCACCAGTTGGCCAAAAAAAAATTAAAAAAACGTAAAACGCATCCAAAAACGTGTCAAAAATGAACGAGCAAAAATGCAAAGCACACAGCAAAAATAAATTAAAAACACACTTGCTGCGGTTTCAATGTGTTTTTAAGTTATATCACCTATGAAAAATGCATCCTAAATGTGGTAAACTTGCATCAAAAACATGTCAAAATCACAGCAAAATCACAGATAAAATCATGGGTAAAAAAGCATCAAAATCACAAGTGAAATTGCGGCAAAATCCCATGTAAAATTGCTGCAAAATTACAGGTAACATCACGGCAAAATTGCGGGTAAAATCACAAAATTATGGCAAAATCAGGAGTTAAACGCAGCAAAACTGCAGGTAAAATCGCAAATTCAGTAGCACCTTTTTTTCCTATCGGCAAAATGGCGATAACACTATTTTTGGTCTCCTATATATGGGTGCATCCTTAGTATGTACAGTATTTACACAGTATAGTGAAAGGAGGTGCAGAGACTCCTAGCTGAAGCTATCGGAGGCAGGACAGACCCAGAGGGATTGATTTACTAAAATTGGAGAGTGCAAAATGTGGTGCTGGTCTGCACAGAAACCAATCAGCTTCCAGGTTTTATTGTCAAAGCTTAATTGAACAAGTTGAAGGTAGAAGCTGATTGGCTACCATGCACAGCTGCACCAGATTTTGCACCATCCAGTTTTAGTAAATCTGCCTCAGAGTGTCCTGAGCTGTCATTCTTAGAACACTGCCTGGGTGGGAGGTACAGACCAGGAGTCTGACTCCGCCCACTACATTGAGCAGGGAGGAAATATATCACAGCTTCCTGGAGGAAGAATTACAGAGGGGCGGGGCCAAGACCAGTGACTGGGGGAATAGGAGGCATACCAGCCACTGGTCTTACAAACAGGAAACCACAGGGGATTAACAGTTTGATTTGAAAATCATCAGGTTATTTCAGAACAACTACTGAGTGAACCAGGAGATGGAGGACATATTCAGTGAAGGTAGGAGATCAGCAGCAGACATGGGAAAAAAAGGTTTTCCCAGAGTTTTGCTTTAACTAAAATGAGTACTCATGAGATAAAACACTCAAAAATAAAAAAAATATTGCCCGTAGTGAAAACACCCATCGTGAGAGGAATAGGGAGGAAAAGAAAAATAAGGTATGCAAAGTATAAAAAAAGTATTAAAAAGCCTGCGATTATCTAAAAGCATCTGTAGATTGCCATTACTAAACATTTCTGAAGGTGCCTTTGTTGCAGTTTTTAATATAAGAGTGAAGGTTCTCTTTAATCGCTTCCCGACTTCTCTCTAGCAGATATACTGCTACAGGGTGGCAGCGGTGCACAAAATCATATATATATATATATATATATATATATATATATTTGGGTTTTGCGGCCATGGCTGTCAATCACCGAGTCCCGGACGGTGATTACCCGCCGGCGCCCAGAGATTATCGAGCATCTCCGAAGGGAAGGAGAACTGCTTTTTTTACTAACAGTTCTCTTCCCTATCAGCTCAGGCACGCTGCTCTGGTTGGCCGTGCAACACAGCCATCCTGATCAGTGTGCTTACAGTGATGCACCAACACACCACCACCTATGTAAAAAACACTCCCTGCACACAATTAACCCTTTGATCGCCCCTGATGTTAACCCCTACCTGCCCAGTGCCATTAGTACAGTGTTAGTGCTTTTTTTTAAGCACTGATCACTGTATTGGTGTCACTGGGGATCTCAGCGACACCAAGTCAGTTCCCCCCAGTGTTAGAATGCCCGCCACAGTCCCGCTATAATTTGCTGATTGCCGCCATTACTAGTCAAAAGAAAATTCCAGTATCTATATTGTCATTTGTAAATACTATAACTTTCAAATAAACCAATTCATTTACATGTATTGGTATTTTTTTTTTAGCAAAGACATGAAGCAGAATACATTTTCGTGTACATTTATGACGAAATTTTATATTTTACATTTTTTAACTGACATGCTAAATAGCAAAAAGTCAAAAATATAGTTTTTTTCTCAACATTGTTGTTTTTTTTTTTCTATAGCGCAAAAAAAAAAAAAACGCACAGGCGATCAAATACCACTGAAAGAAAGCTCAATTCATGAGAAAAAAAGGATGTACATTTCATTTGGGTGCAGAGTTGCATGACCACGCAATTGGGGGGTAAATCCTCAGGAGGGCAAGGGATTAAATCTTGCAGGCGCACCTGCCACACACAATGTATTGCCTCTTCCACAGTACTTCTGGCCCACAGAATACAGTTTGTTGCAAGAACTCTCATTTCAACAAAGATTATCAGCCACCTGGCCTTTGATTAGCCCCACCATATGTGGCATTTAGCATTGATTGTAGAGCTTTCAAGAAGTCAGTCCACTCGCCAACTTGCCTTTTTAGGCCTTTTTTGCCCACAGTGAAAAGTTCTTGTACTGGCTGTTTTGGTCCGCTCAGACAGTCAGGTTAGCTTCACACTACCCCGCACACTGCAGGCTGGTTGCAGATGCGGGAAGCGATTCCTGCACCCGCATCCAGCCACAGCTGCACTACTTTTCTCTTGCCAGTATTCGAATTCTGAATGGCACCCCCATGCATCTCATCCCACAGCGTGATCATGGATGCAGGAACCGCACGGAAACTGCAAAAAGACCATGCGGATGCATTTTGGAAAAGGTGCATGGTATATGCACCTTTTCCTTGCATGAAACGTGGGCACATCAACTCATTCAAATGAATGGGCTGCTGTGCCCATATTAATGTGAACCAGGGGTAACTCAACCTTCTGGCTATAGAGTTGCCCAGCTTGGGCTGTACAGCTCTCTGCCTGTCCAAACATGGTCTCTTCTCACTCACTTCTCATCAGACACAAGTACGGTCAAACAGGGGCGGACTGACCATTTGTAAACTCGGGCACTGCCCGAGGGCCCGGGGTCAGTAGGGGGCCCCATGAGATGCCCCTGGTCCCTTTTTCATAGGCTTTTTTGAGTTTGGGCAAGGACACAGGGGCCCCATGATCCCCTATTGCCCGGGGGCCCCATGAGTTGTCAGTCCGCCCCTGCGGTCAAAGCATCTGCATCTCAGGTCTGCACACATGCCCCCTACATGTCTGTCCACACACATGCTGCTTCCTGGGGTGGGAGAAGCACTGGCTGGCTAGCCCGATTTCCCTTTTGTGAATTAAGGCTAGGTTCACACCTATGCAGGTTGCATCAGAGCTGTTTCTGCATTCCGTTTTGCGTTTTTGCACCTGCGTTTTTGATGAGTTTTGTAGGGGTTTTTTTTTCTTGTTGCTAGGCAGACTTAAAATGCAAAACGCATCAAAAAGGCAAAAATGCTTTTCTACAGCATTTCCACTGAAGTCTATAGAACCAAAAATGCTACTTTTTGCATTACAAAAAGTCCCTGACCCTTTTCAAAAAACGCACAGGGTGAAAACACGCAAATGTGAACACGTCCCATAGGAAATCATGTTAAATGGGCTGTACTGCGTTTCTGCGAAACGTTGTGGAAAACGCTTAGGTGTGAACCTAGGGTAACACCCACCTGGCAATCAATCCCACATCTGCTGAGGCACCCGTTCACTGCTAAACCAGCCATCAACTGCCTCTTAAGACTGCCCATCTGTCACACTACATATATATGTGTGTGTATTTAGACATGCCACCATATTACATATACATTTTATATTTTATGCTTTTTGTTTGTTTGCTTTGGCTTTCATAACCTGATGAGAGGTTGTGCTCACTGATAAACTGCAGCTGCTATTATTTCCACTGTATAGCTCTTAGCACTTGGAAATTGTCTTTCTTTTACGATCGTTTTTTGCTCAAATTTGAGCGTACAGGCTTCTTTCGTACAGAAGACATGACGTCCAAGGGTGAGCCTACAGATCTAATGGGCAGCTTATCAAATATGTCATTGGAAAACATAAGGGTGTGTAGAGATTGTCGTATGTGTAATTATTTCTTGCTAAGGGTGTTATTCCTGCTCAAGTTTGGGTACTATGACAGCATGGGATGAGATAATCTGATATGATTATGATGCATCTGTCCCTGCTGAAATCACTCAGCTGTGCAGTCCATACTGTCACTGCATAATTACTATAGTAATACCAGAGCAGACATTTCAGGACAGAATAGCCCAAATGTATGCAGCCACTGACGTAGTAAGTTACTAGGGCTTGGAGGACGTCATTAAATAAAAATATTGTGCCAGGTGGAACATATAGGCATTCTGGCTCAATCCCAGATGGTTTTGACAGGGGAAAGGCAAGGCTCTAACAATTCCAAGTAGTGTTGGAGCTTGCCGCTAGACCCATATTCCTGGTGGGCCACCACTATTGGGCTGCCTTACTGGCTAATAGCAAGGTGTTGGAGGGTCTAAAGCAGGGGTAGGCAACTTTAACCACTTCAATGCCGGGCACTTTTACCCCCTTCCTGCCCAGGCCAATTTTCAGCACTCTCATGCTTTGAATGATAATTGCACGGTCATGCAACACTGTAGCCAAACTACATTTTTATAATTTTGTTCACATATCTAGAGTTTCTTTTGGTGGTATTTAATCACTACTGGGGTTTTTATTTTTTGCAAAAAAAATACTGAAGATTTAAAAAAAAAAAAAAGTTTTTTTCTTTGTTTCTGTTACAAATTTTGCAAATAAATCATTGTTCTTCATAATTTAGGCCAAGATGTATTCTGCTACATTTTGTTGGTGAAAAAAACTCAAATCAGTATTTATTATTTAGTCTGTAGGAAAGTTATATCATTCACAAACTATTGTATATATCTGAAAATTGATCAATCCTGAAGTACTGACAGACAATCTAATTTCTTGAGGCCCAAAAATATCAGGACAGTACAGATATCCCTTAAATGACCCCTTTTTGCAAAGTAGACAGTCTGAGGTATTTAGTAAGATTCATGGAGAGTTTTTTGAAGTTGTATTTTTTTTGTCATAATTTTTTGGAAAATTAAGAAATTTAAAAAAAAAAAATTTTTTTTTCTTTTACATACTGTCACCAGTGCAGTGCAGCATCACCAAATAACTGGTGTGGCGGTGATCATGGACACTGGGTAATGTGTTAGAAACGTAAGGATGCCTCATCGTTTGATGGAAATGAAAGCAGCCTACAGAGGACTGAATTCACACACCTCGAAAATCAAAGTGAACAATTTATGCAGCACGCTAGGCTGAAATTTCATTGTAGCAATTCAAAATGGTACTCGGTAGTTTGTATGGCCCCCACGTGCTTGTATGCATGCCTGACAATGTTGGGGCATGCTCCTGAGACGACGATGGTGTCCTGGGGTATTTCCTCCCAGATTTGGATTGTGGGAGCCATTGAATAGTATCAATTCCTTCATCCTCCAGGACATGCCTGCATACTCTTGCCACATGAGGCCAGGCATTGTCATGCACCAGAAGGAACCAAGAACCCACTGCACCAGTGTAGGGTCTGACAATGGGTCCAAGGATTTCATCCCAATACCTAATGGCAGTCAGGGTGCCACTGTCTAGTCTGTAGAGGTCTGTGCATCCCTCCATGGATATGCTTCCCCAGACCATCACTGATGTTGTTACAGGCAGATTAATGTTCTCCACAGCTTCTCCAGACCCTTTAATGTCTGTCTCGTGTGCTCAGGGTGAACCTGCTCTTATCTGAAAAGCACAGGGTGCCGTGATGAACCTTCCAATTCTGGTGTTCAATGGCAGATACCAATTGAGCTCTATGGTGCTGGGCAGTGAGCACAAGGCCCACTAGAGGAGGTCGGCCCTCAGGTCACCCTCATGACGTCTGTTTCTGATTGTTTGGTCAGAGACAGTCACACCAGTGGCCTGCTGGAGGTCATTTTGTAGGGCTCTGGCAGTGCTCATCCTGTTCCTCCTTGCACAAAAGAGCAGATACCGGTCCTGCTGATGGGTTAAGGAACTTCTATGGCCCTGTCCAGCTGTCCTAGAGTAACTGCCTGTCTCCTGGAATCTCCTCCATGCTCTTGAAGTGCCATCCTGGAGGAGTTGGACTACCTGTGCAACCTCTGTAGGGTCCAGGTATTGCCTCATGCTACCAGTAGTGACACTGACCCTAGCCAAATGCAAAACTAGTGAAAAACAGTCCGAAAAAAGGGACTGAAAAGTCTGAAAAGGGAAAAAAATTTCAGTGGCCTCCACCTGTAAAACCATTCCTGTTTTGGGGTTTGTCTCATTGTTGCCCATTTAGTGCACCTGTTGTTAATTTCATTAACACCAAAGCAGCTGAATCCGATTACCAACCCCCTCTGCTACTTAACTGACCAGATCAATATCCCAGGAGTTTAATTGACTTGATGTTATACTCTGATTACAAAGTGTTCTTTACATTTTTTGAGCCGTGTATTAACCTTCATGTTTGCTATCATATAATCAATTGCCCTGGATACTCAGGATTCATTCATACCACGTGGGTTGGGCAGTGTTGTTCAGCACAGACCCAATACAGCAACACGTAAAAATGTAATGAGCGCAGCTCACATTAATGAATTGTTTTGCTGTGCGTTGGATATAATAGAACATCTGTTTGTTGTTCTAATTGCTCCAAGTGGTTTTCTTTTAGAAGTAGTAAGGGCATCTTTAGTTGCTGTTTGGCGTATTGTAAGGGGGGCTGTTTTTTGACACTGGTGTAGAAAAATTGCTAAAGGTTTATTCTGCCAAGGGTAATGTATGTGAACTTATGTGCATAGTACATATACAACGTGCTCCACCAATCTTACCCACATTAATATTAGATCTGTCAAGTATATTTGTTTGTTAAATTACAACAACCCAAGCAAAACATTTTGTTGTCATTTGTGCTGAAACAATATAGAATAATATATAATCAAAATACAAGATGAGTCCATTTGTGTGGTTGCGGGGGAGGGATGTTGTGTGGATTTAAAATTCAGATGTGCTGTTTTTTTTTAGTGCCCCCCCAAAACTGTCCCAATTTAAAGGATAAGTTCATCTTTTTTTACCAAAAATAACATCTGCACATTTTTTTAGCAGGTAAAAAAATGTGCATTCATTATTTTTGGCTGCAGGAGCCTGGAAACCATTGCACCAGCAACCATTGCACCAGTGATCAGCAGATCACTGGTACCATGCAGGCCTCCTGCAGATCTGTCAGTATATCTACTTGCCCATACGGGATGTACGAGCAAGCAGATATACTGACAGGAAGAATCAATTAACTGCCACGGTGCTCCACAGCGCCGTGGTAGTTAATTAAGAACTACAATCCGACAGCCGCTATGGGTTCACGTACACTGCAGCTGATAAACTCACGATCAGGAGCTTTTCTGTGTTTTTTTCAGCAGCCCCTGAACTCCCCCTAATGCTTTCCTATGTATCCATGTATGCTATTTCGTTTACAGTCGTTTACAGGCAGTTGACTTTACAGTCGTTTTTTTTAATGCACCAAACTTGCGTTCAGAAGTAGATTTTATCAGCGTTTCAAACGCCAAAAGCTTGTAAACACGTGTAAATGCGGCTAACCACGTTTATAAGCGTTTGCATTTAGAAGCGTTTTTTTTAACTGTTCCATATCCAAATGCTGTCCAGAGACTTTTTTCATCATCAGAAATGCATGCAAAGCGTTTTCCATGTATTCAAATGGACCTAGCACACCAGCGCAGTCAGTTCCAGGTTTTGCATGAAGGAAAAATGGTAGAACGTGCTGCATTATGCTCATGATGGGATCCATAGTGAATACAACCAGAAAAGATAGGTCATCTCAACACATACTGCTCTCTCTGCTTCTGCTCTCTCTATTTCTCTCAAAATGTCTGAAATAGTTAATTTTGTACTGTTTTTCAGTGCATTCTGGGCATTTTGGAAGGTCTCCTGAGGTTATCTTTAAAAAAACGCTTCTAAATGCAAACGCGCATAAACACTCATAAACACGGTATGAAACGCATATAAATAGACGTTTTGTAACCTACGTTTTCCAGCAGTCAGTTTCCATCATTCAGAAGTGTTTTCCAAACGTCCCGTGTACATGAGCCCTAAGGCTGTCAGGACTTGTAGTTTCTCATACACAGAGCACTGTGAATGAGTAATGCAGCTGGGTGGGTTGAGCCTCCCATGGCCACATTTTTTTAAAAAATTGACAGCTAGCGGGGTTGAGAAAAGATCCCCTGCTAACTGTCAAAGCTGGGGAGCCGGAGCTGGTGTATTCATAATGTTACACCCTGAATATGGGTGTAACCAGGGGCGGACTGACTATTCATGGGGCCCCCGGGCAATAGGGGATCATGGGGCCCCTGTGTCCTTGCCCAAACTCAAAAAAGCCTATGAAAAAGGTACTAGGGGCATCTCTGGGGCCCCCTACTGACCCCGGGCCCTCGGGCAGTGCCCGAGTTTCCAAATGGTGAGTCCGCTCCTGGGTGTAACATGTTATGAAAGGTGAACTTATCCTTTAAGTTGCAAAGGCAGCAGATAGGGGTGTTCGCATATCGTGGTGCTTCGCAATCCGTTCAAGTGACTGTGGAAGAGCCAGAAATGTCCTGTAACTGTGTGCATTTGAGGAGCATTTGTGGGGTTAAACAGGCAGTGAGGAGGCGTCATCAAACGTGGATTGCTTTCAGAGTATCAGTGATTTAGGTGCAGGTCAAAGGCCCTTTTTAGACTGCCCCTGCAGCACAGGTGCAGCATAGTGTATTTCCCATATGCTTCTATTATATCGGGTGTTTTTGGTGCATTTTCTGAAAGAGCATTAAAAGTCCTGCATGCTGAATCTTTGGTGCCCTTTCAGAAATCTCACCAAAAACGTGTGATCTAATAGAAGTCTATAGGAAAGCGCAGGTAACCCCCACGAAAACAGTGGGTAGACTGCAGTGCACCCGCATTTCAGGCAAACCGTAAATCTGATAGTAGTAATACTCACAATTGTAAACATTGATACATTGCAATCATATTAACGAATGTGTGCATATAAAATAAATGAACCCAGTCATTTGCAGTAAGAAGGTAAAGTCTTATGGCCTATATACAGTACATTGACATTAAAAGAGGACAGTCGCTGTTCATTCCTAGCATTCTCTGAGTGCCATCCTGATACTGTTCTTGAACTTTAACACACACAAACCCTTAATAAATGTTTGATTAAAAACAGTTAGCGGCCCCAGGAACATTCCTTCTGTCTAAGCAGGCGGCAGTCTCTCTAAACTACGCTGGGGATTTTTAGATGACTGCAGTAACATGAAATTAACAAATTAGCAAATAACTTTTTATTTATATATATATATATATATATATATATATATATATATATATTAATTTCAATATGCAGCAAATGAGGAGTTAGCCTAAAAGGTAATGAAATGTGATTGAGCACATTACATATTCCCTGTGTAGTACTAGCCTTATGAGTTATACAGAAGTTATAGTGACAGATCCCCTTTCCTGTGTGTATCACAGAAAAGATCTGAACGTAATCACTGAGGTTACTTTTAGAAACTGATGCACAGAGCAGCTGCCAAACCTACTACCTTGCACTGCCACAAAAATAGAAACTCACGTGATCTGATGGGAACACAGATCTATGAGTCACACTGTTTTAGCTTCCAAGTAGGTAATTTTGTTCCCACATACTTTGACAGGAAAGGTTTCACCAAATAGCTTAAAAAACGTGTGTGGAAGCTACAAAATGTTAAAGTAAAAGGGTCATTGGTTGTAATACCTCCGTCATCTGAAAGCAACAAGATTTTACCAATTGTCTACTGGGACAATTTTTTAAAAAATGTGCACACATGTTAAAATAAGCTTTTCATTGCTGTAAATTACTTTAAAACTTTACTAAACCCAGGACCCTGCATTCACTATATCTGGTCTCCCATAGTACACACAACATGAAAATGCAATTATTTTAGTAAATATAAACTGCTAAATACCTTTTCTCATCAGTAGTTAGAACAGTCTTGTGGCTTCTATCAGTATCCAGCAGATCTTGTGGGGGGAGTTTTCATTCTTCTCTAGGAAGATGCAGGACCCCTGACCTCTGTCTGGACAGTGCTGATTGGCCCTGTATTGATCACATGCACTCTACCAAGAAAAAAAACCTCTCTAGCAATACACACTAAACTGAGCATGTGCATGTGACTACAGGTTCAGTCTGTCTTATCAGGTGGACATTTGAACAAGAGTAAGGGCAGAGAAAACAGAACCAAACAGCCTTTTTACCACACGATATGTCTTAAAAGGAGATAAGATGGGGACACTGGAAGAAGGGAAGGATCAGAGAAGACAGGATCAAACAGCGTTTTTACACAATGCAGAGGATTAACCCCTTAGGTTCCACAGTGAGTATAACAAGCATGCTTTACTGCATATACAGACTGATTTTACTGCTGTGGGTTTAGTGACACTTTAACCTCCCAGTCAAAAAAGTATATTTTCTGATAGCAGAGACTTTGGAAAATAAAGTGTTGGTCATTGCAATTTTTTGTGTCTTATATTTGCGCAGTCATTTATCATATGCATATTTTCAGCACAAACTACAATAACATGAACTTTAGCGCACATAACACAATACCCAATTTTTTTTGTAAAATGTAAAAGATGGGGTTGTGTCGAGTATATAAATACCAAATGTGAAGACTCAAAATTGCCGCACCCATGAAATAGCTACAAACTCTGGAACCTCAATTTTTTCAGGCTCCCCAGAGGTATGGGAGAGCCTGGGAACCACTGTGGGTGCTGCCGGCAGGGGGGTGTAAATATTTAGAGCCCCATAAAAGAGACTGGCCAGCTCTAAAGCCACCCCTATCACTTTTATCTGAAAGCCGTTTGTCAGCTGGTACAAACCACACGAAGCTTACGGCATGGTAGCTGTTGTAAGCTTGCTTTAAACCCTGGTTTACCATGCTGTTTATGAACATACCTTGGTAGACAGGTGGTTAAAGAATATCTAAAGGCAACATTTTTTTTAACCCAGGTTTATTTTATTGTATTTGCCTCCATTGGGTAGATCCACCCTTTTCTCTGGGCTTTTGACAATATTCATATATTGGAAAGTGGCAGGAAATCCAAGATGTTACACTTGTCATTGGAACAGGAAATAAGGTCATATCTTTCAATAAGAAATCTTTCTCTGTTGACAACTCCATTGGAACCAAATAGATTTCGATCCATGTAGGGTCATTCCCATTTGATAGGAGTTGATCTGGAAGGGGCACTCTGTATGTCTGGAGGTAAAGAGATTTAATCTCCAAATATGGAAAAGCTTCTTTACAGTAAAAGCTGTGAAAATGTGGAATAGACTCCCTCAAGAGCTGGTTCTGGCCAGCCCAGTAGATTGTTTTAAAAAAGGCCCGGATGCTTTCCTAAATGCACAAAATATAACTGGCTACTATAATTTATAGGTAAAATTGATTCAGGGAATATCCATTTGCCTCAGGAAGGAATTTTTCCCTTGCTGGAGCAAACTTGATCATGCTTTATTGGGGTTTCTTGCCTTCATCTGGATCAACTGTGGACACAGGATTGTGTATTTAGAGGTTTTCTATGTGTGTGTGTTTTTCTTTTTCTCTATGGGTTGATCTATATGGACTTATATCTTTTTTTTAACCAGACTAACCATGTACTATGACTATGTAGATCACAAACTGCTGGTCCTCTAAGATTGCCAAATCAACAGTGGTGCAGGAAGTAAGCCTGTACAAAGCAATGACAGGCTCACAATGGTCACAGCTACCCACCTGGATTTGATTGACAGGAGTGGGAGCCAATGGTTTGCACTACTATTAATCTGCCCAGTGAGGAGGCACAAAGCCGTGAGAAACGCTGCTCTCATGCACATAAACTTGCACTCAGGTAAGTATAAGGGGGGCTGGGAGGGGATCCTGTGCAACAGAAGGTTTTTTACCTTAATGCATAGAATGCATTAAGGCAAAAAACCTTAACACTTTAAAACCACTTTAATTCTGGTCTGGAGATTTGCTTGCACTATTGGTAAATTTATGCAGGAGACTATCCATTTATAGCAGTTTGAGATCTCCAATGATTACATGACTGCAGTGTGGAATTGAACTTTTATACTCTCTGGCACAGAAGATATTATTTAAACAGATATGTGAAGCAGATGTCTTTCTTGTTTGCCATTACTTTGCAGACACAGACAGGCTTAATGTAAGCAATGTAATGTTTACAGTGGTCTAGGCCAGTGACGACTGCTCTTAAAGCAAAGGAAAAGAAAAGCCAGAGTAAAAAGTTTATGTGCAAAGCTGCTTCACATCCTTGGATATTTATGAAAAAAAGCTAATGTGTTTAAATTGTTTAGTAATCCTTTAGGCCAAGAAGACGGTGTTATTGGACTTTGTGAATTGCTATGAAAATTCACTAGAAAGTGTGAAAAAAAAAAATAATAAAACTTGTGCAAGGGGAATTTTTAAAGACTTTTTAGACCTCCATATCTGCCCCTTATTTACCTAGGATAGAGTTGTGCTTAATTTGTAGCAATGTAGTAAATTATTTTAAAGAGAAAATAGTGTATTTTCAACAAATCTGATTTAGGTTATTATAACATTATAACAAGGTTGCTTTAATTGTTCATGTGACTTTCACGTTTTTAAATTCTTGTTTTTTTAAGGCCTTGTCAATGTATTAAATTTAGACATTTGCAGTTCCCCATGGTGGCTTAAAAAGGTAGATCCAAAGAGACACTGCAACATTTAGGGCCTGTTCACACATTCTTTCTGAATGGCACACCAAAGCTCCTTCTCAGCACGCTTTTGTTGCAGCTGAGTGCAACATACATTGCAGTGAGTTGACAAAAATGCTACATGCAAGAAATTTGTTTATTTGGACAGGGCTCGAAAAATCCCAGGTGCCAGGTCACCATGGCGACTAGAAATTGAGTCCAGGCGCCTGGGCTTTTGTCAGCCCAATCACTGTTACAGAGATGCACAATCTGTATTGCCCAACACCCAGTACTTGCAGTTCAGGGCGCCGAGCAGGTAGTTTTTCTCTACATTTAGCCCTGCTGCAGGCAAGCAGCAGGGCTCACTTGTCAGGCGGAAGCATTCAAGCAAGACCGCTACCACCCAATTGCTTCCGCACACACGGGTAAATCGCATGCACCCCCACTATGTATCCTGAGCACCGCAGGGCAGAAGGGAGGGAGTAGAGCATACATACAACTGCTCTCCTTCCCATCTTTCTCCTGACCCGAAAGCAACCTGTATGACTTCACTTCCAGCTCCCCGTTGACAGTTTCCCCGGCCAGCATGGCCAGGAAAGAATGTAATGTAGTGTGATCTGCATTGCAATACATTCAGTATTCAGTGGAGCACAGAGGAGACAGCTAGGGTCTTTTAAGGAAAATCTCATAAAAAAAGTTAAGTAAAAAAAAAATGTTTTTTAATTGTAAAAAATAAAGTTACACCCAAACAAAACTTTTTTAGCTGGTTCCTGGTTCCTAGATACTGTGGGAGACCAGATATAGTGAATGCAGGGTCCTGGGTTTAGTAACACTTTAATATACAGTACACTGCTCAAAAAAATTAAAGGAACACTTTGAAAACACATCAGATCTCAATGGGGAAAAATATCATGCTGGATATCTATACTGATATAGACTGGGAAATGTGTTGGGAATGTAAGAATGCCCCATCGTTTGATGAAAATTAAGATTATCAGCCTACAGAGGTGTTCTATTGGATTTAGTCAGGCGAGCGCGGGGGCTATTCAATAGTATCAATTTCTTCATCTTGCAGGAACTGCCTGCATACTCTCGCCACATGAGGCCAGGCATTGTCATGCACCAGGAGGAACCCAGGACCCACTGCACCAGTGTAGGGTCTGACAATGGGTCCAAGGATTTCATCCCGATACCCAATGGCAGTCAGGGTGCTATTGTCTAGCCCAGCAATGGGCAAACTACGGCCCGCGGGCCGTATACGGCCCGGCGGACCTTTTAATCCAGCCCGCGGAGCTAGGCTCCCGCTAGGCTCCTCTCACAGTCCGCCCTGAAGACCGGTGTAGCATGAAAATCTGTCTCCTATGAGGATCTGTCCCCCTCGACGTATCTGCGCATGTGCCGGAGATCGCCGATCGGCTGCTAATGCCTGAAACTGGCACATGCGCAGATACGTCGAGGGGGACAGATCCTCATAGGAGACAGATTTTCATGCTACACCGGAACGGCGCGGGAACACGGCGAGAGGATTGCGCGGAGCAAAGGTAAGTGAATTGACACAGGGGGGACTTGGGGACTTAATATGGGGGATGAATTAATATGGGGAATGAATTACTATAGGGGGGATGAATTACTATAGGGGGGATGAATTACACTATGGGGGATGAATTACTATGGGGGATGAATTACTATATGGGGGATTAATTACTATATGGGGGATGAATTACTATGGGGGATGAATTACTATGGGGGATGAATTACTATAGGGGGGATGAATTACTATGGGGGATGAATTACTATGGGGGATGAATTACTATAGGGGGGGGGTGAATTACTATAGGGGGGATGAATTACACTATGGGGGATGAATTACTATGGGGGATGAATTACTATGGGGGATTAATTACTATATGGGGGATGAATTACTATATGGGGGATGAATTACTATATGGGGGATGAATTACTATGGGGGATGAATTACTATGGGGGATGAATTACTATATGGGGGATGAATTACTATGGGGGATGAATTACTATGGGGATGAATTACTATGGGGGATGAATTACTATATGGGGGATTAATTACTATGCTTACTATGGGGGAATATTACTATACTTACTATGGATGACACATACACATCATTCATCTACTCTTGGTCCGGCCCCTGGGTCCAATATATGAACCCATTGCGGCCCTCAAGTCAAAAAGTTTGCCCACCCCTGGTCTAGCCTGTAGAGGTCTGTGCATCCCTCCATGGATATGCCTCCCCAGACCATCACTGACCCACCACCAAAATGCTCATGCTGAATGATGTTATAGGCAGCATAACGTTCTCCACAGCTTCTCCAGACCCTTTCACATCTGTCACATGTGCTCAGGGTGAACCTGCTGTCATTTGTGAAAAGCACAGGGTGCCAGTGGCAGATCTGCCAATTCTGTTGTTCAATGGCAAATGCCAATCGAGCTCTATGGTGCTGGGCAGTGAGCACAGGGCCCACTAGAGGACGTCGGGCCCTCAGGCCACCCTCATGAAGTTTGTTTCTGATTGCTTGGTTAGAGACATTCACACCAGTGACCTGCTGGAGGTAATTCTGTAGGGCTCTGGCAGTGCTCATCCTGTTCCTCCTTACACAGAGGAGCAGATACCGTTCCTGCTGATGGGTTAAGGACCTTCTACAGCACTTTCCAGCTCTCCTAGAGTAACTGCCTGTCTCCTGGAATCTCCTCAATGCTCTTGGGACTGTGCTGGGGGACACAGCAAACCTGGCAATGGCATGTATTGATGTGCCATCCTGGAGGAGTTGGACTGCTTGTGGAACCTCTGTAGGGCCCAGGTATCGCCTCTTGCTACAAGTAGTGACACTGACCCTAGCCAAATGCAAAACTAGTGAAAAATAGTCAGAAACGATGAGTAGGGAAAAAAATGTCAGTGGCCTCCACCTGTAAAACCATTCCTGTATTGGGGTTTGTCTCATTGTTGCCCATCTAGTGCACCTGTTGTTAATTTCATTAACACCAAAGCAGCTGAAACTGATTACCAACCCCCTCTGCTACTTAACTGACCAGATCAATATCCCAGGAGTTTAATGGACTTGATGCCATACTCTGATTAAAAGTGTTCCTTTAATTTATTTGAGCAGTGTATAAATTCATTATTGTACCAAAATTTTTTTTTTTGCTGCTAAAATAATTTACATGTCTTTTCACCTTTTTTAAGGTTTTACTGTTTTTCCATGGGTGAGTTCAGATGGAAACTCAACTGCACGACCTGAAACAAGAAGTGTTCCATGTCCTATGTACATAGAGAACTGCTCAGGTATGTGAAGAATTTTAATATTATGTTAATAAAATTCACCACATGGCCACAGCTACAATGTGGATTTAAATGTCAACATGGCCCAAAATGATTTTTTTCAGGAATAACAATAATGAAATATTATAATAATTTTTTCAGTTTAGGCTATAAAGTGGACAAAAGGCAGTATCTTCTTCATTCCTCAGCAGGCAGACCAAAAGACATCTTTGTAGCAATCTGCATATATACTGTCCCAGTAAATAAAAAATCTCTATAGCTTTAGTTACAGTGCCTTGAAAAAGTATTCATACCCCTTGAAATTTTCCACATTTTGTCATGTTACAACCAAAAATGTAAATGTATTTAATTGGGATTTTATGTGATAGACCAACACAAAGAGGCACATAACTGTGAAGTGGAAGGAAAATGATAAATGGTTTTCACAATTGGTTACAAATAAATATCTGAAAAGTGTGGTGTGCATTTGTAGTCAGCCCCCCTGAGTCAATACTTTATAGAACCACCTTTCGCTGTAATTACAGATGCAAGTCTTTTTGGTGATGTTTCTACCAGCTTTACACATCTACAGAGTGAAATTTTTGCCCATTCTTCTTTTCAAAATAGCTCTGCCAGATTGGATGGAGAGCGTTTATGAGCAGCAATTTTCAAGTCTTGCCACAGATTTAGGTCTGGCCTTTGACTGGGCCATTCTAACACATGAATATGCTTTGATCTAATACATTCCATTGAAGCTCTGGCTGTATGTTTAGGGTTGTTGTCTTGCTGGAAGTTGAACCTCCACCCCATTCTCAAGTCTTTTGCAGAGTTGGCTCCATCCATCTCCCATCAACTCTAACCAGCTTCCCTGTCCCTGCTGAAGAAAAGCATCCCCACAACATGATGCTGCCACCCCCATGTTTCACGGTGGGGATAGTGTGCTCAAGGTGATGTGCAGTGTTAGTTTTCTGCCACACATAGCGTTTTGCTTTTAGGCCAAAAAGTTAAATTTTGGTCTCATCTGATCAGAGCACCTTCTTCCACATGTTTGCTATGTCCCCCACATGGCTTATCGCAAACTACAAATGGGACTTCTTATGGCCTTTTTTCAACAATGACTTTCTTCTTGCCACTCTTCCAAAAAGGCCAGATTTGTGGAGTGTACAACTAATAGTTGTCCTGTGGACAGATTCTCCCACCTGAGCTGTGGATCACTGCAGCTCCTCCAGAATTATCATGGGCCTCTTGCCTGCTACTCTGATTAATGCTCTCCTTGCACGACTTGTCAGTTTAGGTGGACAGCCATGTCTTGGTAGGTTTGCAGTTGTGCCATACTCTTTCCATTTTAGATGATGGATTGAACAGTGCTCCGTAAGATGTTCAAAGCTAGGGATTTTTTTTATAACCCAACCCTGCTTTAAACGTCTCCACAATTTTATCCCTGACCTGTCTGGTGTGTTCCTTGGCCTTCATGATGCTGCTTGTTCACTAATGTTCTCTAACAAACCTCTGAGGGCGTCACAGAACAGCTGTATTTATACTGAGATTAAATTACACACAGGTGGACTTTATTTACTTATTAGGTGACTTCTGAAAGCAATTGGTTCCTCTAGATTTTAGTTAGGGGTACCTGAGTAAAGGGGGCTGAATACAAATGCACACCACACTTTTCCAATATTTATTTGCAAAAAGTTTTAAAAAACAGTTATCATTTTTTTTCCACTTCACAGTTATGTGCCACTTTGTGTTGATCTATCATCCCAATAAAATACATTTACATTTTTGGTTGTAACATAATGACAAAATGTGGAAAATTTCAAGGGGTATGAATACTTTTTCAAGGCACTGTACATCACTTCCCTCTAATATGTCCCACATTGTGCTGTTAGCTGGATCTTGGAGAAATCTTCACTACAGGATTGCTTGTCCTCTTCCGAGTCTGGTCAGTCACAGGATTCTCTCCCTTATTTTGCAGATTGTGTTACAAGCAGGGAGGAGGAAAAAGAACGGGGCATGCCCCCATTGGATCAGCTTTCATCTTTAGTGCAGCAAAGCCCATTGACTCAAAACTATTAACCACTGTAGTGCCAGAAGTTCAGGGCCAGACAGAGGACTGGGCATCCCTGCAGTAAAGATTGCTCCACGATCCAGCTGCCTGCACAACATGGGACACACATTTTATTTTAGGTGAAGTGGCTAAAACTGTAGGGATCTTTTTTTTTATTTTTTTAGCTTTAAACATTTGAATTATACCTTAACCTGCCGGCAGTTAGAGGCAGGGGTACTTAAATAGTTTATCTGTCAGCAACAAATGTATTTTTTAATCTTCTTGTATAATGGTATATACTTTTTTAGAAAAGGTGGTCAGAATTAAAATATCCTACACATTTTACATCAGGTTTTTTCACTGGAAACAATTTGCATTAGAAGTTGCCACCAATGTCATAAAAAACAAACGTTTGCTGGAATATATCAGACTTTATTCTAAAAGGGATTTTCTCTATGACTCATTACTTGACACAGCACCAAAAGGAAAAGACATGATGCAAGAAGCTCTCAATAAAATGGGAATCTGCCAAGGAAGACCGGTATTTATACAGCAGTGCAAAGCAGAGTCTTGTCACAGTACACTGCACATAAAAATGTACTGAAAATGTGCAATAATGTGTGATGTGGTGTGACCTGTGTTTGTCTACTGCAGAAAAATGTAGGTCACTGGACATGGTGTGAATGAGTCCTTATACTTTACAAGGTAGCATATCCTAGAGTCTTGAAAGTATTGGTGGGTAATCACAGCCAGCAACAGTGTTCCTGGTCCCTGCCACACCAGTCTCAGTGTCTCCAGACCACTGCAGCCAGCAACAGTGCTCCTGATCTCTGCCTCACCAGTACTCTGTCAACAGACCAGGGTAAGCCAGGAACAGTGTTCCTGATCACCACCACACCAATCTCAGTGTCATCAGACAAATGTAAGTCAGTAACAGTGTTCCTAATTGCTACCATGCCAGTCACAGTGTCACCAGACCAGTGCAGGCAACAACAGTGTTCCTGATTGCCAGAACACCAGGGTCAGTGTCAGCAGACCAGTGTAAGCCAGCAATGGTGTTCTTGATCATTACCACACCAATCCCAGTGTCACCAGATCAGTGCAGCCAGCAACAGTGTTCCTGATCGTCACCACATCAGTTGCAGTGTTGCCAGACCAGTGCAGGCAGCAACAGCATTCCTGATTGCTGCCACACCATGCCTGTGTCAACAGACCAGTGTAAGCCAGCATCATGTTTTCTGATCGCCTCCACACCTGTCACAGTGTTACCAGACCAGTGTAAGTCAGCTACAGTGTTCCTAATCACTAGGCACACCAATCCTAGTGTCCTCAGACTAGTGTAATACAGCAACAGTGTTTCTGATCACCCAACACCAGGGACAGTATCATCTGACCAGTGTAAATTAGCAACAGTGTTCCTGAAATCTGTCACACCAGTGCTAGTGTCGCCAGATCAGTGCAGCCAGCATCAGTGTTACTGAGCATTGCCACACCAGTCCCAGAGTCACCAGACTAGTGTAAGCCAGCAATGGTGTTTCTGTCACTGCAACACCAGTCCCAGTGTTGCCAGATCAGTTCAGCCAGCAACAGTGTTCCTGATTGCTGCCATACCAGGGCCAGTGTCACCAGACCAGTGTAAGTCAGCAACAGTGTTTCTGATTGCTGCCACACCAATCCCAATGTCAGCAGACCTGTATAAGCCAGTAACAGTGTTCCTAATTGCTAGCCACACCAGTCCACCAGTCCTAGTGTCCTCAGACTAGTGTAATATAACAACAGTGTTTCTGACCACCGCACACCAGGGACAGTATCACCAGACCAATGTAAGCCCACCAGTGTTCCTGATTGCTAGCCACACCAGTCCCAGTCACCAGACCAATGTAAGTCAGCAACGGTGTTCCTGAAGTCCACCACACCGGTGCTAGTGTTGCCAGACCAGTGCAGCCAACGTCAGTGTTAATGAGCATTGCCACACCAGTGCCAGTGTCACCAGAGCTAGTTCAGCCAGCAACAGTGTCCCTGATTGCCACCACATCAGAACAGCCTGCCTTCCTGCGACCTGTACTGACCCTGGTCTGTTTTTTATTATTAACAATGGGAGACAGTACACGAGACAGTACAGTAATAAAGTAACAATACAATACAATACACGGGGGGTTCGAGGGCCCTGCTCCTTGGAGCTTACAATCTAGGAGGGAGGGGAGAGTGGTACAGGAGGAAATAGCTGTGGGGGATGGAGTGGTGGGAAGAGCGGAGGAGATCAGCAAATTAGGCGAGGGCGGGGTAGGCTTCTCTGAAGAGATGGGTTTTCAGGGTGCGCTTGAAGGTGAGGAGGGAAGGTGACAGTCTGATGGATAGGGGTAGGGAGTTCCAGAGGATGGGGGAAGCCCTGGAGAACTCCTGGAGATGGGCATGGGAGGAGACCAGGGAACTGGAGAGAAGGAGGTCTTTTGAGGAGCGGAGAGTGCGTTTTGGGTGGTAGATGGATATCAGGTCGGTGATGTAGTTTGGGGCAGTGTTATGAACAGCTTTGTACGTTAATGTTAATATTTTGAATTTTATGCGTTGGGCAGTCGGAAGCCAGTGGAGGGATTGGCAGAGGTGGGTGGTGGATATGGAGTGGTTGGTAAGGTGGATGAGTCTGGCCGCAGAATTCAGGATAGACTGAAGCGGGGATAGCCTGTGTTGGGGTAGGCCGGCGAGGAGGGAGTTTCAATAGTCAAGTCGGGAGATGATAAGGGAGTTAATGAGTGAATGACCATATCCTCGTCTGTCATCTGAACTGACACATCTACACATATCACTGACTACATCCCTGTGAGACTTCAGCCCCAGCCATCCTATGCAGAAAACTGCACTCCTGAAACCGCAGGAACTCTTTTGTTTACCCTTTGATCAGCCTTCTGCACTTTCTGTCAAGTAAACATAGCATTCCTAGGGGCAGCCATGTACCAGAAGGATAGGCTTACTTTGCCCT